ATATATATATATATATATATATATATATATATATATACCCTTAAATGTATATAAGTTTAGGTATCCAAACTCACCATATTACGTCGTTTTTACTATATGCATTGTAATAATCGAAAGTTCTTAAAATTCAACTCATAACTTGAATTAACTATCAAGATTTTTATTAATTTCATCATTATCTTCCTCTTACATAATTTTCATTTTCAACAATAATATATATAGACCGGTAGGTGTTCGTGTGAAAGATGTGATGTAAAAGGAAGATAATAGTGAAATTTCGAAAATTTTGAAAATAAATCAAGTTAGGATTGAAGTTTAAGGGCATTATAATGCATATATATGATACAAAACAATGTATTATGGTGAGTTTGGGTACCTAAGCTTTTATACCTTTAAAGATATATATTCATTTTTCATATATATAGCACGACATATGACTTCATTCTAGAGACGTGTCGTCGGAGTATTATATGATTGTTCTACGTACAAGACACGTATCTTGGCATACTATATATATATATATATATATATATATATATATATATATATATATATATATATATATATGCCGGTCCATGTTTTCGTTCATGAATGTGCTTACGACATCATGTCATTGCAATACATAAGTTGTAACATGTTTTTATGCACAAAAATCAGAGGAGCATACATAGAAATGGTAAGAAACACATAAAAATCGTCCCTAATATATATCTTTCTCCTTAAGTATCCAAATTCAATTTCACATGTCAAAAATGAAAAAAGAATCATGATATAAAAAAGTGTAATAACTATTACACATGTCTTTCAAATATGCTATTTCATAAAATGAACTTTACAAAAAAGTTTACTTTAAATTTACGAATGTCTCCAGGAATAAATTAAACAATTAGAAGACCTCGTTGTTATGGATTGTCTTGTTAAGAAATCATTTTAGAAATCTGTTAATTAATTAATTTTTTGATTGAATTATATGTTAAATAAAATAATATAGTAGTTAATATAAAACCAATGTTGAAGGGAGAAAAGAAGCATATGAGGATGGACCATTATGTCCTTGTCATTCTATCTTTATTAAATTGACACCGAATCATATTAAACGCTTATTAAAGATTCATTTTGAAGCTTCTAATAATTAATTTATAGCCATTTTTGTCAACTTTTCTCGCGTCTATAATTTAATAATTTCCTTCAAACTATTGATCATGTAGAATTTGTCTGACCCTATACTTAAAAACTCGCCATGTTGCCTGAAGAATCTACTTAACCTATGAGCCCCCCAATATGCTTTATACCTCCTCTGCTACTCTTTGGTGTTGAGTTGGTGTGCGTTTTTAGTGTTTTTGTGTGTGATATATACACACACATATACCTCCTGAATACCTTATAGGTAAAACTCAGCGTAGTGTCATGTGTTATTAGTGTTTATATGTGTATAAATTATTTATGACCATATATAGTTCTCAGGAACCAATAACGTCATAAGATCTTTGTGTCTGTGTTGGTGTGTGTTCTTGGTGTTTGTATGTGAATGTTTTTGAGCTTTGACCAAATACATGGCTCTAATGGTGCTGAATACTTCATTCAAAGGCTTGTTCTTCATGACATCATGCACCTTGATTATTTTGAAAGTTACCTTCTTTTTCATTACATTTATTCCTTCAACCTCAAAACTGCCAATACACGACCATGATTATCTTCATTCCGATATGAAACCCCCAGTTGATCAATCTGCCAAAAGCTTTAATCCTGACATCTTTACTCATAGCCAGTATGAGGATGTTGTTCGGATATTGCACGAAGAACAACCGACCTCCACCTACGTTGATGGCAGCAATGGTGGCGGAAATTCACCGGAGGTGACTGGTCCTCCATGGCAAAGAGGAAGTGGACAACATTCCATGGTAAATACAAGTCAAGCGGTGGTGCATGAGGGGGGTCAACCATCAGCTGGAAGTTCTAAGCCCTCAAAAAAAGGTAATACTGCATCACATTGGAATAAAAGACAGAAATAATCATACTATATCGAGTATATTCCGCCACATGTTTTGTTTGTTTTATTTGAGCAAAATAAAATTCCTTTTTTTAGAAACAGATCCATATTTAGTGAAATAAGTAATATTTCAAAGGTATAATTCAGAAAATATACAATTTTTCAAAAACGTTTTCAACAAAAAAATGTGTACTGAATTTTAGATCATATATAATAAAACTGATTAATATATAGATGTTATATTCCTTGTTTGTAGTGGAAAGAAATTATTTGTGATTGTATTTCTTATGATAGATTCGAATAGAAATTAAATCCCAATATTTTGAACATTGATAATCATATGATTTCGAAAATATATTATTAAACTACATAATCCAAACTTTGATTTTTCAAAAGTTGAAGTTCAAATTGGTTAAGTTGCAAGTTCATGACCAATAATAGAAGGAAATGGAATTAGTCAATGTCTTGTGTCAAGAGGTTATGGCTAATGGTTTTGATGGTCAATAAATAACCCCTAAAAGATCTACAAGAGACTTTTTACAAATATCTTAAAGTAATATTGTATTTTTATTAGATTAGCTTATGACATCTATACGTAGAATGCGCATACTTGTCCTACTTCAGAAGGAACTTACTATATAATATATTAATATGTTATAACTTGGCACATGAAAACAATCCAATGTTATGTAAATGGCAATTGAGTAATGATTTATAAGTATCTCGAGTACAAACACAACCACAACCAACAACAAACGAAAGTAACATATTATATAACAAATTTAATATAATAAATAACTAAATTAATCATGCTATTTGGTTCCATACTTTTCTGGTAATGGGACACGAGTTACAGTTTTGCCACTTCAAGTGGCCCACTTGAGAGCTTCTTTGAAGTGCCTATATTTAGAAAAAGAGACGTACATCGCGGGCAGCGCAGATAGTCTATTCTAAACCACAAAGATGGTCTAATACGTTTGTTTATTTTGGATTTTTTTTTTATATATTTTATTGATTATGTAATAATTTAAAATTATGGCAACTATAATATTATTTAACTTAAATTTAAACATTAAATTAAATATCATCCTACAATTTCTTTATACTTATTTTTCTTTATACTTATTCTCCTACCTATGTTAAATGTTGATGATTTTAGTGTCACCCCAGATATTTTGTGTAATTAAAACTAACATGTGAGCTAACAGACTTATTATTTGTACTCTATATAATATGTTCGGAGAGTGCATGCATATATAAGATTGAATTATAAGCCTCTACGATAGAATGGTGGGGGTCAAGGGGTCGTGCCCCCTTGCAGGGTTCTAGGGGCAACGCCCCTAGCGGGGTCCAAGGGCTAGAACCCTGCAGGCAGTGGTTCCGCTGATAAATCCCATCAGTTTTGCAAACCATTGATTATGCAATTAATTCGTGATTTGTTTAACTAGTTTAGAATATAGAAACCCTAATCTGTCAAAGTATAAATACAGGTTCTCTATAGAGCTGTCATGAGAACCCTTCTCAACTCTCTCTCTTCTAAACAATCTCATAATTCATGTCTTTTTGGATTATTATAGACTAGATTTCCTGTAACTCGGACATATGGTAGAAATATCAGTTCAGAAAGTGACCTTACACGATCCATAAAGAAATCCGGTTCTCCACCATCACCTTACTAGTATTCCCCCAACATTAAGTGATGAAAAATATATTAAAATATTATTAAATTCATTAAATATGATACATGTCAATATTTAACATGAATAGGAAAAAAATATTGGAGGACAATTTCTTTCTGTATAATTTATTTTTAGTAAATGGTAGATAAATACCGACAATAACACATACATCTTTAAAAAAAATACATCAACTAACTTTATAAATAACATGCCAAAAGATTATACAAACTGAAAAATAACTAAAACCAAATTATCAAATATATAACACCTTAAACAAAATTTACAAACAATATAAGACTAAGTGACTAACCCTTTGCACCCTAATACCAAGAATCAGGCCTAACAAACCTTAAAATATTTTAGACCTAAATTGCACCCGATTTAAGACCAAGTCTTTCTATTTGCGTCTGGGCATATGTTGTTTATCTTTTTGACTTTAAGATTTATTTATGTATTTTTTTTCAGGAAAGGATTTGAACAACATAGAGGTGTACCATGACAAAGACATCTTTTTAGAGAACTACAAACACATGAACAAAAGTTTAAAAATCTACATCTACCCACACCAAAAAACCGACCCATTTGCCAACGTCCTCTTGCCCGAAACCCGTAGTTCTCCAGGTGGCAATTACGCTAGCGAAAGCTTCTTCAAAATTGCCCTCTCATCGAGTCACTTCATTACACATGATCCAGCCGAAGCAGACCTCTTTTTCTTGCCTTTTTCTATTGCAAGTATGAGACACGACAAAAGAATAGGAGCGGGTGGCATCAAAAACTTCATCAAAGACTATATTTCAACAATCAGGCGTGAGTACCCGTTTTGGAACCGTACAGGTGGCGCTGATCATTTCTATGTTGCATGTCATTCTATTGGAAGGACTGCAATGGATAAAGCACCCGAAGTTAGAATCAACGCGATTCAAGTTGTTTGTTCTTCAAGTTACTTCTTGCAAGGATACAATGCACACAAAGATGCATCAATACCACAAATATGGCCAAGACCAGGCATCCCCCCTATCCGACACCCGTCTGAAAGGTTAGTGCTTTGATAGCATATTGTAATCATTAAGCTCGCAATGAAAGACTAGCCCAATAACCTCATAATCACTTTATAAGCATGATAGCAGACTGGCAGTTATTGGTAGCACACAATTTAAGACTTAACATTTTACATGATGTTGCAGGGAAATGCTTGCGTTTTACGCGGGAGCGATGAATTCGAGGGTACGTGAATCGTTGGTTAGGACATGGATGAATGATACAGAGATTGGTGTTCATAAAAAACGACTTAAAACACCTTACTCAGATTCACTACTTGGAAGCAAGTTTTGTATTCATGCGAAAGGGTTTGAAGTGAACACGGCTCGTATAGGTGATGCAATCTATTATGGATGTGTTCCTGTTGTGTTGGCGGATCATTATGATCTGCCATTTGCAGATATATTGGATTGGAGTAGGTTTTCAGTTGTTGTTTCGACGGAAGATATTCCATTTTTGAAGAGGATACTCAAGGAGATTGTTGATTCTGATGAGTATGTGAAGCTGCAGAAGAATGTGTTGAAGGTACAAAATCACTTTCAATGGCATCGAAAGCCGATAGCTTTTGATACATTTTATATGGTGATGTATGAGTTATGGGTACGTAGAAGTTCTATTAGGATTCGTTCGCTTAACGAGTGATATTTTCAAAATATTGTGTCTTTGAAAAATTTAAGAAAATTAAAAATTAATTTGTATATAAAAGCCAAGGAGGGTCCTTCAAAATGTCCCAACACATGTAAATATTTGTATTAGGAATTTAGTTTCCTTTATTACAATAATACGAATTTTAGTTTGTATTTCAAGATCTTTATTACAATAATACGATTTTTATTTTGTATTTTAATATCATAACTTTGCAGGTTTCGATCGGTAAATGAATTATTGGAGCATAAGCATAGAAATAACAGAACCTAAATGAAATTCACATATGTAATCAAATCAATACACATCAAGAGGATCCAATTTCACAATGTAAAAAACAACATATGTCCAAATAAAACATGGAACATCTAATTGAAGTTTTTAAGAATTCATATATGAACAACCAAATGAAAATCGACAAGCTTTTCACTAGAATTAGCATAAATTAATCAACTCTGCATCACTAATCAGTATAACTAGAAGCAACAAGATACATTTCGAAGAAGACTAATAGCAAAATTTCAACAATGTAAAAAGAAACACAAATCTAAACATTCTTAAACAATCAATAATCACTTCACGACGCAGTAAGGCGTCATGATTCAATTTGAAGAAAACCCAATGAACAAGAAAATTAAATAACAAGATTTCCACTAGAAAAAGCATATGCATAAGAATTTCCGAGTAAATGAGTTTAAAATTCGTCAAAACCTTTTTAATCAACATTTGGTATTAACTATGGATAATAGCCGAGTGTAACAAATAGTCGGTCAAATAGGATTATTATATAATATCTTAGTCAACATAATAAAGGAGACCAACAAAAAAAAAACCTTATACATAATAAAGGACACTACAACAAACGAGACCTATAGGGACGACAATTGTCGTCTCTATAGGTTCAAAAAGTCGTCCCTATAGGTCTTTGGGGCGATATGTCGTTCCTATAGCTTTCGTCTCTATAGCCCCGTCGCAATAGATCTGTATTGTCGTCACTAAAAAACTCGTCGCAATTGGTAGCCCTTGGTGACGATATGTCGCCCTATTCTGGTTCATCGCTATAAGTCTATGGTCTCCTTTGATAAAGCTATAGGGACGACATGTCGTCTCTATAGATTAATCTATAAAAGCAACTTGCCGTCTCCACAAGTACAGCTATAGAGACACCATGTCGTCTCCATAGATGCAACGATAGACACAATCAGTCGTCTCCATAGATGGATACATAGTGGGCCGCAGTCACCCTAGAGCAACGTTATTTCTTCGTGGTTGATGCATCTGTAGAGACGACATGTCGTCTCGATAGGTATGTCGTGTCGTCTCTATAGATGCCCCTATAAAAACAATATGCCGTCTCTATAGGTATCTGTAGAGACGACATGTCGTCTCTATAGGTATGCCCATCTCGTCTCTATAGGTATGCCCATATAGCTCCTTTTAACCATTATAATTTCCCAAATTCTTAAAACAGTAAATTTACAAAATAGCTAAATCGGTAAATTTAATTGCAAAATATTAAAATACATATAATCTCAAAACATTAAAATATAATACAATCTCAAAACATTTACCAAAACATTCATTTGAAATGTATAAAAGTTTCATAGAATTACAAATACTATCTAATTTAATCTGATCCACTAGAAGTTTGCCAATCAGTACTTTGATCATCATCACTTTGAGCATCATCACTTTGAGCATCATCATTATATATCACTTGTTTGTTCGGAAGTTGTACCTGTGAGAGATCAATATAGAATTGAACCGACGGTGGAGGTTGGCTGTTTGGATTTTGAGACATGAACATTTGTTGCATTTGATGATTAAACTGTTGACTCAATTGTTGAGTCAACTGAAGAGCAAATGCATTGAGGTCTACATTATTTGTTGAAGGAGCCGGGATATTATAAGGTGCTACATTTTTCACTTTTCGACCAACACCCCGTGTATGACCACTCCTTTCTCCAAGTACACGAGCCAAGCATTCTAGCTGTTTGACTTTTGATTCATCAACACCAACCTCGTCCAACATTTTCTTATACTCATTTTCAATTTTAACCTACAACAAAAAAAACAATAAACATACATTAGTTTTTTTTAACTAAAAATCGGCAGCATAACGACTATAAATAAGACAACCACGACCTTTTTAATCTGCTTTAAATAGCAATATAAGCAATATAGGTAATCCACTTTTAATACCATAATAATACATAAACTTTTTACTTACCCGATCTTGTTGTGCTCACATGTTGCACCATCCACGACCTTCTTTATAGTGACTCTTCTTCCAACCCTCAATATAATTCATCTTTCCTGTTGCTTTTCTCTATATAGAGTTAGAAAAAAAACTATTATTAAGATTTCATATAACTGTTAATAAATCCTAAATAATGCTAAAAAAAACTTACTTCCTTAAACCGTTTTTGGGAATATGGTTCACTCCCATGTGAACTTGGATAAAGTTGTTTTCCTCTGTTCTCACTATTTTGTACAGACTTTCCCTTCCATTTTTCATTTGTGTAAGCTTGTCGATAACTTTTCCCCACTCTTTTTCAGACTGTGTCCGTGGGGGATTTCTCTTTACGAATTCTACATCCTTATAGCCTCCCATTGTATCAAAATGTTCCTTCAACTTTCCTTTCCGACGCCTGTAACACGATGCACAATCAGTGTCGATTCCTTGAATAATTTGATTGCAGAAAGGTGCGTCTCGGAAAGCTTCAATATCAAAATAGTTCTACAAAAGAAAGGATTATTACACATCTAAAAATTATAAGATTTAAATAAAAATAAAACATTATATTGTATACTTACATGCACTTCAAGATAAACTTTGTTTTTGAATTTTGCAGGGACATCTTTCCAACTTGGATAGTGAAAAGGGACAAATTTTGCAACACTATTTGAGACACACCGTATGTAAACTTGGTAATTGTCTCCACAAAACTTAAATTGTTTTCCCGTAAGTTCAATTTCAAGTGGTAGTGGCCCTTTGTTATCATCGAACATTCGATTCAAATTTATGTTTCGTCCATTCGTACGAGTTTTCTTTGGCTTTGCTACATTGACACATGTAATTGAAAAGTTAGTATGTTAAAAATATATTCAATATGAAGACATATTTTATCATAAGAAGTTACTTACATGACTCACAGGATGTAGGGATCTTCTGTGGACGTCGGGGAGGTTCATTCCCACCATCTCCACCATGGCCCCATGCAATGTGCCATGGTGTTTAAAGAACGCGCCAGCCCCTCATTTTTCCCGCTTAACATGTTGAGACAACAAGTCAATAAAAAATGGTCAACTCTATAGCGACGATATGTCGTCCCTATAGGAGGCCTATAGCGACGACTAGTGTCATCCCTATAGAACTCGTCCCTATAGGTGCTTATTCTTGTAGTGGGAGACCAAAAAAAAAAAAAAACTTGGACCAGATTTGACAATTGTGCATACCTTAAGGATCAATTCTGAAAATTTAAAATTATAGTATATATATATATATATATATATATATATATATATAAGGGTAGGTTATTTTGTTTCTTACATTTATTGTATGCTAGAATGCACCAATAG